CTTTTTTTTTTTAATTTAGATTGAGATTGTTCCATATGGGGAGGCATAAAAAGCCAGGGGCCATATAATTTTTGTGAAAGCGTTTTTAAAAAAGCTATGGTTGATGTTTGTTTTCAGGCTTTAACAATTGTCATTTTGGATTAGACACTCAGCGGCTGCTCAGTGCCCTGGGTAAAATGGTCTCAAGATAAAGCAAACACAAACACACATTCTCTTAGCATCATTTTAGCAGAGGCTGTTCTGATAAACATTTTGGTCCTGACTGGCTTGCGTGCAGTAACAACAGTTCAGGTTTAATAAAAAGATAGTGCGGAAACAAGTTGACATTCCAGCTGCCCTTTTAATTCAATCTGACTACGCTAGCCTGAGGATTAAACCCACTTTTACAAAACATTTCTGGCTGCGTTTATTCATTTTACTGGAAGGGGTGAATACACGGAGCTTCAGGCTGCTTTCCTGACCTGACATGATTAATCGAGAAGTCCAACAATTGGAAGAATTTCAGGGAAGTTTAATGGCTGCCAAAACAAAGTGAAGAGCTCCTTTGCATTATATCTGTGAGGCATAAAGTCTCACAGATTAGATTTTTTCCTAAGAAATGCCGTTTGGGCTGCTGCAGCATTTGAGTGACTGATTGTATCGTCATAAGAAGAAGAAGAAGAATACATGATGATCATATTATGAAGATCTGCACAGTCTACTGTGAGTGGCTTCTCATTTTGGCCAAGGAGGAGAAGCAGATCCTAAAAGAACACATCATTGTATTCTTTCCCCTCAGTCTGACTCCTGGCTCAAACTCATACCAAGGGCTTGGATTAGAAACCAGAAATCCCAATCCTTTGCTCTAAACAGTAGACCAAGCTTCTACTATAATCTCCCTGGCAAAGGCAGCAAGAAGATATTTTAATTCTTTAACAATTAAAAGGTTCAGATCCTGCAACTGAATCCACATGCACAGGGGTCTGGCTTGCATAGATTCAGATGTAGGCTCGGAATTTAAGAGCTCCGTTCTACCAATGCTTACTCGTTTGAGCAGTCCCATTGACTTCAATGGGATCATCTCAGGTGAGTAAAATTTTACAGGAAAGGACCCTTAGAAAATATAACAGACCCTGGGTAAAATTATTTTATACCTAATACAGAGCCAGGACAATTTATTAAAAAGCCAAGTAATGAAAATAAAAATATGGATGTAATTCTAAATGCCATAAGGCAAACTAGGTGTTATCATAAATACTGTTTTAATCCCTTTGTAAAATCGATACTGTTCGGGTAGCACGTGCATTGCATTGTCACTCAAAAGTCCTCCCCCTACCCCCCAATGGGAAACTGAGTCACAATCCTTGTGATGGTTGTAACAGGCAGCAGGTTTAAAGCTTGATCCAGGTTTTCATTTAACTCATCTGCTGTGTCAAGTAAAAATAGTTTCATTTCTTTTTTCCTGAAAGGCAGCTGAGCTGTCTTCCACCAGACTAATATACAGAGAAGCAGCTGACACGTGAAAACCACTCCGTGTTGGACTCAAGGGAACTCTTCATGACGTGGGTATTTTTATTACTGGCACAATGATGTTTTATTAGACAACGTTAAGAACCGCTCCTGCAGTAGCTTATTTCCTAGAGACCAGAGATAAATTTAATGAAAAAATTAGGATCACTAAAAACACTGCAGCTAGAACCCCTGGTAATAAAAGCTTCATTTTACTGTTGTGGCAATTCAACCTGTTTTTTAAATGGTTGTGTATCAGCGACAGTATTTTGTCAAATCAAGGGAGAATTAACGTAGATCTTGAACTAATTCTAAGAACTAAGTACTGTCTTCAACAAATACAGCTTCTATTCAAGACATATCTGTATTCCTCATTCAAGAAACTCATGCAAATGGCAGAATTTGAGCCAATAGAAGGGAGTGAAACATCTTTAAAAATATATTACAGAATGAGCAAAGATTGAATCCATTAAAAATTTTTTTCCGTGTGCTTTGCTTTCAAGGTACTGTAATCTTCCTGTCTAGGCAGGATCACAGTGTCTGGCAATTTCTACTTCAGAAAATATTTAATAATGGATATAAGATGAATAGCAAGTCATAATTTAACTTTTCAAGACTGATTAGCATTTTTGGCAACCTGAATGGCATTTCAGCCTATACTGAGCTAAATTTCATTAGCACTTTTTGAAAAACATATTGCAAAGAGCCCTGTCAAAGTAAGTCAAGCCACGAATAGATCATGCAAGACAATCTTTAATTACTCTTCTCATAATTCTACCCACCAAAAGTATATGCAATGTATTACAGGGTAATAAGGAAGTGTTCCCTGAACAGCAATGCTGGTAATTTCTTGGCTTCTTTCTGAAAGGATGAAAAATATATTTTGCTTTTTATATTTATAATATAAAAATTGGAATGATAATCATTTCCATATAGTTAAATATAATTATCACAGCAGGCCCCCGATGTTAGACATTGGTGTATCTTGCAGTCAGACTAAAATTCAAGTACAGTACAGTATTTACGGATCCCCAAATTACTGAAAGAAACAAGTGTGAAAAGGGAATAAAGGAGAAAGCTTGTAAGATTAAAATAAAGGAGGAACATATGGCTCCCATTTAGGTTATATTAGATACGACCAGACTTGAGCACAGATCATATATCTAACTGTTTTAAACGTATGTATATATTTAAATACCTATTTAAGCATACAGGTGCTCCAGATCATTTTAGACAGTTCTATTCCACTAGAATCCTGTGTTTTTATGAAACAGAATAGTGAAAACAGCTACACAGTCCATTTTCCGACAATTATCTGAAGTGCAATATGGATGCATCACTAGTGCCGGCAGTAAAAAGGTAACTGCCTTCATGTTCTCCCTTGAATAAGTGCTGCCAGTTGTGTTAGCTACGTTATCTATGAATTTTGTAACCTATCTAGATAATATATCACCAAGCCATTTTGAATTGTATGTTTCCAGGAGCAGAAAGGTACTGCTTTAATTTACTAGTCTTCCAGCCTTTTAACATCACTGTTTCTTTCAATGTAATTTGGACATACAGAGAATCTAGACAGGAGCAGAAAATAAAGGCCTTAGTCATCTATAAAAATGACATGAACAAGCAGCAAAGACTGATATTATTTCCACCTACCTCTCTCTGATCAATCTCCACAAACAACCTAACACAATCATAAGAATACTTATTTGATCAGAGTCAAATTTACTCAAACTTCATGCACCATGAAGCCAGTGATGTAATCAGAATTGCACATTGTGTTGGCACATTAAAAAGAATGTGTAACGAACCAAGAGTAGGGAAAAGCTTCTTTGTATTTTCATCATTGACACAGTTTAACCCATGCCTTAAGTACAATAGCAAAATGTTTGCAATATTTAGCCTTAATTCATTTCCCCCTCTTTACAGCATTTTCCATTTTAAAACTATCAAAATCATGTTCTCTAACTGTACAACCTGCCTGGCAACTGCTTGGAAATAGCCACAGTTAAGACTCACCAGCATCACTGCTGCTGCTGAGAATTAGAATGCCACCTGTCAGGGAAGCATATACAAGAATACTGTCAGAGGCTGAAATACAGTTATCCAACTGTTTCCTAGTGTTACCTATTATACATGTAAACTTGACATCCCTCATCTGGGCTGACTACAATAATCCACTTCAACCATCATGGATCAAATTATGTCTGCAGACTGTCTGGAAGAAAATTTACAGGCTTGAGTTTTCTGTGTCAATGGTTTAATGGTTTATGAGAAAACCATTCAATAGTAACAGTGTCAATGCTACTAATATTTAAAGGAAAAGGGGAACTTGGCTCAGGAGGGGATGAGAGGATATATATTTTTTAATGTATTTGGCTATGTACAGGTGGAGCCTTTCACCTCAAGACTTCAGGTTTGAATTCAAGCCTGGTGATTGAAAATTGTTATATCGTATGAGTGCTGTTAGGTGATCTCTATAAAAATTACCTAGTTGTCAGTTCTCTTCCTAGTGGAGCGAGGCCCATGTCACAAAAACATCACAATTGATATTAATTGGCAATTTTGTTGGCAGGCTCTGCAAAGAGCTCAAATGGGCTGAATGTGCCATAGACACAGCTTCTCTCTTCCCCCTTCAGGTGATCCCTCCAGGTCAGGTCTGAAAAACCTGGACAGGGCAGAGTACAGAGGCTCGTGCTACAGCTGCCTGTGTCATGCCTATTGGTGACTGGAGGAATTAAGGGACAGATTCTCAACCGGTGAAAAGTAATATAATCCCAGTGACTACAATGGAGCTATTCAATTTACTCTAGTTCATGCAGGTCTCAGAGCTGTTAGTCTGGCCACTACCAAAGGCACCAAATTCACTGTTGATTTATTAAAATGAAGGAAAGAAAAAGTGTTCCCATGCGGTGGAATTAGAGAATCTTACTAAATATTTTTTTAGTGTCACGATAAACAATGGTTTGAGCAGAATAAAGGCACTTTAGAGCTTGCATTAGCAGAAACAGCTTGGTTTAAGCCTGTAGAATTCTAAAGCTCCAGATATTTTGGAGGATTGCTATGTACTTCTAAGCGCTATTGCTCAACTTGGAAAACTAAAACACAAATTTATACTTTTAACTGTTAGATTCCTTAACGAGGCAGATGTAAAAGCTTTTAAGCACTTGTATTCATAGAAGCATTACACTGAGTGAGATCTTGCAATTGAACTTCTACACATCAACCAGGGATGAAAAACTACTGATGTATGGATCATGACCAGAGATGAAATTTCAACATGAAACTAAATCTAGCAAGCATTTTAATAGTCATTCACTTCCCATTCCTCCTAACTCACGTATGGCTATCTGATCAACAAAGATACAATTTTAAAGGAACTCTACCATTAGTGTCTGTCAGTGTTTACACTTCTAGACATTGGTAAAAAAAAAAAAAAAAAAAGTTGTAGGAAAAAACAAAAAAAAAAATTTTAAAAAAAGAAAAAAAAAAATAAATTAAAATAATTAAAAAATTAAAAAAAAAAAAAAAAAAAAAAAAAAAAAGTTGTAGGGCAAGACCTAATGAATGAGCTTTCTAAAATGGGAACAATTTTCCCTTTCAAATTTCTCAAGATTTGTATGAAGAGGAATAAAAAGTTTCTACTGACTCTTTGCCAGCTTTAGGTCTTGTGGCCAAAAAGACCAAATTGAAATAAAAATTTGGCACCCACTTAGTCCTCAATCTTTATTACTGCTTCCTCATTTAAAAAAAATTATTTTACAAGCAAAGTTGTAAAGAGAATTTACTATGTATGCAACAAACTTAGTATCATCACTTTTATACCTCATACTTGAGATTATCAGTATTAGAAGTGTTAGTGGTCCCAAGATTTAGGAGATCCCAAAGGAACAATGGGCTCTGAAATGGTAATTCCCACAAATCTATTTTTAACTTTGAGTCATCTGTGATATAAAAATTCTACTAAAAGTTACAAAACAGAACCAAGAATAGCACCTTTCACTTCTAAGTCATCAGTGCAAGTTCATTACAGGTTAGCAGTGACCAAAAGTAGTTAGCATCAGAAGACTGTTTGGTGGCCTACGATACAAATGAGCACGTTTTGGGTCTTTTCAAATTCCAAGGGACTTAAGTTCACATCATAAAACCCTTCACCACCCAATTGGCACCCTTGTTGGTAACAGCAGAGAAACTAAGATATGAGTCGATATTGAGCCACAGGTCCCCTGTTAATCTACAGAATAACTATAGCATGGGAAGAGACTACATAAATCGTCAGTGCTGTCAAGCCACCAACATTAGAATTCACAAACCCGCCCTTCCGCCCCAGACAACTAGCTCATTAAACTTCCTTCTCACACCCCTAGTTAAATCATTTGAAGTTTAGCCTGGTATTTAACGTTTCAGAAGTGCACAGGAAGCAAACTGAAAGTACTTAATTCAATTTGTTTGAAGAACTGCAGTGCATTGTACACTGATCTACAAGCAGAGAGGCAACTTCCAGTCTAAGGGGATACTATAGCTTTAAACTTTGTATTTTTCAGGAAAAACAAACATTTCTGGACTACAAACAAATTACACACATCCCCACAGTTTCAAAATATGCCAAGATAATATTTATTAACACAGCAGGACTTACAGATCACAAAAGATAGTGATACATAAGAGCTCTTAAAGGAGTCATTAGAATAAAGCATGCAGGTCAGTATTTGCAGAAGAGATATCAAAGCAGATTTGAGAAGGCACATTCACACAGGAAATGTTTAGTTGAAATAAGACATTAGAAAAGCAGCAAAAAACCTGATGTGGATTAAAATACACAGAGATTTCCAATAATGCTGAAGAAAAGATACTTTACAGGTTTGCAAGTGCAGCAAATTGGATAACCCTTTGAGGATATTATGAGCGAGGGCAGGCTCTTGCTGCACACTGAACTTGAAACAAATCAGATGCATGCATATAACGCGACTAAACACTAACTAAAATACTTCAGTGTTGGAGAAAAGGTTAAATTTGGTATAAAAGAAGGTGCCTGGTTGAAATTAACAACATGCAGCAAGTGCTCAAAGGGTTATACCAAGTATATGCAAGAGAAATGCAACATTAGTATAGTTTACCTTCCACACCAAGAATTATAGCAAAGTTTAAAGAGACAGTATCCCCTTTAGAGACCGTTCGGAAAGTTATTTCCCCCCCGCCAAAAAAAACCCCTAAAGCAATTCAAATAGGAAGTGAGTGGACCTTCTACCCTTCCCTGTACCCACAATCCATCTGTATCACATGAACAAGTGGACAAGGAATAAAGACCCTTGTATTGCTGTGCTAGAATTAGAAAAGTCAAATAAAATGCTTTACAGAGCCCCACCTAAAGCTATTCTTCATTTAAGAAATTTACACAATCCGGGCAGACAACAAAAATGGTTCCCAGTGGCTAGTCAGCCATCTCTCTGTAACAAGGACTACAAAGGGATACTGTCCCTTTCTGACATTAAATATACAGATCAAAGGAAGTGAAAAAAAATCTGCTTTTTAAATTATGTAAAATGAAAAAAAAAAAAGACTTGAACATCACTGGTTCATAGCTTGAAATGTATCGAACATACATAAAGAAACACATGAGCACAAAGGGTTATTTTAACAAATATAGTTCAGAGCAAGCTTGATTACGAGACCGAAACAGGAAGGAGGTAGAGTAAAACTCTCCTTGTGAAAATATCTAATTTGGCACCATGAAAGAATACAGACTTTGTTTTAAGTTTCAGAAAAATAGCTTCTAATTAGTACTCCAAAATTCAAATTTTTAGCATCAAGCACATGATGAGCTAATCCTTTAAAACAAAACAAACCCCCCCCAAATACCCTTTCCTGCCACAAATTGCAGTTATCAATTACTGGTTGCTGTGGCCAATGAAGCTCAGATGTAGGAGAAGAGCTACATAAAATCAAGCTACCACCAAAAGAGGCTAGAAAAATATTAGGAAAAAGTGCTTTCAAAACCAAAGTCAATACTCAAGACACACTGTAGGTGCTACCTTTTTGACAGCCCACTGAACTTGGAATTTTACCAAGCCGTAATATGAAAATTAAACATCTTTGCTAATAAAATTATTCCTGAAATTTTGTACCCTGTTAAAGAGTATCTTCCACGCCTAAGTTGCCAACATCATTTTCTCTCCGTTACTTAAAAATATCATATAATGCAAAATTACAGTACTGTATATTTTTTCTACCAGATCTGCAAAAATGGAAGAAACATTTCATATGGAAATAACCAATTCTTGCAGCAATAGCTTTTACATTTAGTTTGTGTGCCCCTCCATTCAAAAAAGCCTTTGACTGCATAATACTTGTCACTAGAATACAGTAATATTTCCCATGTTATTAAAGGCCACAAAACATTTAACTACATCTTATTTCTCTATGTACAAATAAAAATGAAACAACAGGACACTTGGGAACTCTGTTTTATGATATGCAATAAGATTGGAAATACTTTGTTCATATTCTCTTAGGAGTGCTTTCATTAAGAGCAATTAAAAAGGGGATAACCTAACAAGGATAAAGTAAGAATCGCTTGGTTTTAAATTTAGCTCCAAAAGTGATTACCATGCTAGCATGTACAGGCTCTTTGCATGATTACTTCCAGCAATGGCATTAACTCTAAAAACTAATTGTATTCCAGTTACAGTAAAACTGTATTTAATACCTTCATTTCCAGTACTGCAGAGCTCTGGCTAAGTAAATGCATCCCTGCTTTAAAGGGAATATATACTAGTGTCATTGGTTAGAAAGGTTTTCATTAACAGCACAAATTAGTGTTCCGCCTATATTTTCAGAAGCACAGAGTGGGTCAAGTCCTCCAGCCAGGTGCTTAGCTGAAACCAAAAGGCTAAAGTGAGGCTTTCAATACCACTGAACTAGCTCATACAAATGGAACGACATTGTTTGTGTTAGAAGAGCTTCCATCTGAATCCCTGCTAATGGGCATCGGTCACACAATGTGATCAACCCTCAAAAATAAATTAGTATTCATTTTAAACTGCCCAATCTATTTATAGCTATCTAGAACAATGAACGACAGCACTGCCCTGCTAAGGGACTGGTAGCTAGCAGGTAGACAGGTTTAGAAGCCTTTCCCAACTGAAAGACTAGTGCATAATACTGTAATTTAGCGCACAGAGTAACATTATCGAAATCTCCATCACCTACATTACCAGAGCAATCTAACCAATTCCTCACCTGCTGCTGGCGGATGCTGGCCACTAACTGTTGGCAAATCCAAAGAGCTATCAGACATGACATGCTTAAGATCTCCTCCCACATCGGCCAGTTTCATGTCAAACTGAACAGAGAGCGCGTCTTCAGAATCCTCCTTGCCGACACTGCTGCCCCCGATGGAGGGGAGATCCAGAGACTTGACAGAAGCAGAGTCTTCTTTGGCATGCTTGAAAGCTGCCACTTTGTCTACCAGGGATTTATCCATGTTACCACACATGGCAGAAAACCTGTTAGAGTGGAAGTCGGAAAAGTCGTCGTCGCTTTTCGCTGAAGGGGTGCTGTCTTTCAGTTCCTCAACACCTGTTCCAGAGCTCTCCAGAGAAAGCTGTTTAAAGATATCATATTTGGTGGGAGCAGCGGCGGCAGAATTCTGCCCACTTTTCATTGCACTGAGAGAGGAGCCAGCTGGAGGAACAGGATTGGCCTCTTGCTTAACAGCTTTGTATTTGTCATCCATTTTTTGTTCAGAAAAGCCACTGCTATTATTGAAAGCCATAAAATCTGCAAAGTCATCTTGTCCCCCGACTGATAGACAATTAGACAATCCCCCAAAAAGGTTGAATTCTCCAAAGTCGTCAGCCAAGCTCGAGCTTTTACTGGGTGCTGGTGGAGGAGCAGCAGCAGATGTTGGAGGTGGTGGTGCAGGGAAAGAGGTTGATTTTGATGAACTAAATGCAGCTGGAAATGAAAGTTGTTTGTTCTCTGCAGTGGAGGAAAAGAGATCTAGGTCTGCCAGATTCAGAGAGGTTTTTGCTTGTGTTTGTTGCTTTAACTGTGCAGGTAGAGAGGGGAAGGATGCAGGGAAAGTTTTCTCTTTTGTAGGTGGGTCTAGTGGTGAGATGCTGTCAGCGGTTTTAAAATCTGTGAAACCATCATCGGTTCCTGCAGATTTGAATTCTGCAAAGCTATCTCCTGAAGGGGAGAGGGGAAAAAAAGCAGAACAATAAGTAGGATCTTGAAATGAGAACATGTATATCATACTCACACCATGCAAATTATTTTGTGCAATATCAAAATATTTTTATGCAAACCTATTCAATTTGCCAGCTATGGGTATACGTTAAAATACAAAACTAGGCTTCTACGCAATTTTGGTGATGTCTCCAATTATTATTCCAAAAACGTATAAGTCCTTAAAGTAGCCTCAAACCATATCAAACTCAGCTTACAAAGAGTTCAATATCAACACATGCTTCTGAGCGATAAACTTAGGTGGTGTTCAGTACTGTATGTTGTTTGAATACTGGACAGATCCTTTCCCCTTCCCATGTACTTCATACTTGTCACTGCTAAGAATGAAATTTGGAATTTCACTTGTGCCAACGCTTGTATTTGCCCTGTTATCGGTGCCAGAAATATGGCACAACTATTGCCAAAATCTTCTCTGACCTTCTCTCCACCTCCCTCCCCCAACTCCCCACTGTCAATTTCAAAGTCAGAGCAGTGGCACATGGTTTCCTCACAGGATGGCAGCAGGAAGCCAAAATGAAAGCAGCACTGACAGGCTGAAAGGGGAGTATTGAGGGAACAGACTGATTGCCAGAAGCACCTGGCTTCAGATAGCAGACAGTGACTTTTTTTAAACGTTTTTATTTATTATATGGCAAAAGAAGGCCCAAGGTATAACAGGATTTTACCAGAGTGTACGTGATGGAAAATACAACTAACAGGAAGGAAAAAAAGCACCAAAGTGCCAGTCCAACAAAAGTGGCACAGCCATCATCTTAACTAATCACCTTGCATCATTTTAAACCCTCCTTTTAAAAGTCTACCCTTTTCCGTTTCTATCAAGTGCAAAGAGAGTCAAGCATTCAGAACTTTATAAAACTTAATCTAGTCACTTTCATGACATTCCAGCTTCTGTTAAGACTGATAACTGCAACTCAAAGTAAATACTGAACTTGAACCGCCGTCAGACTAAAACATACAGAGCTGGCTGGGATGTAACTTGTAGCAAAAGCATCAATCAAGAATTTATTTGGATTTTAAAAGGACACTGTCAAGGCATTGCTTACAACGTTTATGTTGTCTTTCTTACTGATTATCAGAACACCTTAGCAGGGCCACGGGGGGGGAGAGGGAAGGGCAATTTGTCACAGGCCCCCTAAACCCGTGGAATCTGAGTGAATGGTGTTCTGACCTGTACAGAGATGCCACTCACTCAAATTTGGCCTGGGTGCCACTCCATCAGTGGAGAGGAGGCCAGACCAAACCTGAATGATGCTGTGACCCCATGCACCAGGTCACACACCATGGAGTAGGAAGCAGACCCAGCCCACGCAGGACAGTAGCCACCGCTGTGGGATGAGTGCAGGGCAGGCTAGCTCAACTCTCCCTACCACCCAGGCCCTCACTTTTGGAGTGGGGGAAGCTCCGTTTCAGATTTTTCCCCCCAAGTCTCCAAAAACTTCTACGTGGCCCTGTACCTTAGGAGCCCAGAACAAATCTGTTCTCTTGCTAAAATATCCCCCTTCCATCATATCCACTCACACTGCTTATTGTGTGATGGCCCATGACTAGAACTGTTGACATTTTTTGGAGTTAGGTAGGGAGCACGGAAGCATTTCTTCTGAAAAAGTCGGCAGAAGTATATAAGCTTTGCAAAAGGCATAAGAAAAAAGTTGGATTTGGAATCAAAATATGCTGATGTTCCTTTTCTTTTGTTACTGTGGCTATTTGTAGCTGCTCCCACGTTTGAGATAGTCAGAAAGACAATGCAGCTCCTCTTTCCTAATGCAATCAATTTCTTTACTCCTTAATGCAAGACTGGTTTGGGGATTAAACACAAATAATCACTGAAGGACCTGAACTTGTGAAGTGCCGAGCGACCTGACCTCCTAGTAAATTTGAAGGTGATCAGCATCTCGAATTGGACCCAAAAAGAGAATAGTTGTGTCAGGGTGCCTATAGATTAATAACTCACACATTAGCCTTCTACATTGAGAGAATTATTCATAAATGTAAAAATCTTTAGTTTTCAGATCACATATTAAATGTAAAATATGTAAGGCCTTTTGTTTTCAGTTTTTACCAATTTTTACTGAAAAATTCCGTATTTATCCATTTTCACCCAAATGTTAAACCACTCCAGTACACAAAAATACTGATTACATTAAGAAAATCCAATCCATTACATTAGGTAGATGTGTTTATTTTAATAATGAACTAAACTAAGTGTAAATGTGAGGCTGTTTGTTAAAATAAGACAATATAGTGGAACATACCCACATGCCTATCCACATGCGTATGTGTACGCACTGTTAATGTACAAATCATGAAATGAACCACGGTATTAAACTGCTTTTACTTTCAATACCCTTACATTTCTCTATTTGTTGCTTTTTTTCCTGTCCTCTTATCCCCCAATGTTAATCCTGATATTTACCCAGAATTCCCACCACCACCACACACTGATTTTCACCTGTTTTTTAGTCTTTGTAATTAACACTGATAAACTGCAGGAAATTTGAAACAAAATAAAAACTGAAAACGAAGGGCCTTGAAAATAATATAGTTTAAGTGACTACAGTTTAAACCCCAAAATGCACATTTTCCCTACACAGACGAATTCAAATGTTCTTTTTTGTACAATGTTTGTATATGAAAGGGAAGTTTATACCCAAACACTTTACAGCATATAAAATGCAGCTTAAACATAAAGACAGACAATTTATTCTACAGTACATATCTGTCACCTCACAAATATGTGGAAATCGAAGTATAATTGGTTTTCTTTGTTAAATTTATTCTGTTAAACCCATTCACCAGCATGATATATTTGCCGAGATGTTACTTGTTATAAAATATGCCTCAACTACTTAAAAAACAACAAATGTCCAGTACTGCACATACCCAGATTTCATTCAATTCATATTTTACAAATACACCATTAAGATTCAAGTCACTTTCACAAATGTGATAATTTTAAACTAATTTAAACTATGGAAAGATTTGAGAGAACATTAGTTACAATTATAATAGGTGGACATTATCATCACTTGAAGTATGATGCGAGCTAAAAAAAATTTCCTCAATTCACCTGGTCCAACAATATGTTTTAAATGCTGCTTTAAAAACAATACAAAGAATTTGTGAAATTGACATTCATTAACCAAAATTAAAACATCACAGCAAACTAAACTTACTGATGAACTGTAAACTTTTCCATTAGAAATGTAAGCTGGTGAAAGGGTTAACAATGGTGAAAGCTGGTCAGTTTACAAATCCAGAAGTAATTTTTCTCTTTCCTTGCAAGCAATAGACAGCTGCAAGTCATATGAAATACTCATAACAGTAATTTAAATGCCTGATACTGGAAAGCTACTGAGCACACACTAACTCCACAAATCATCACAGGAGTTTCAGATGCTCAGGCCCTTACTGTGTAACTTAGTAAAACTAAGGAGATTTTGGCACAATTGTCTCTATATGTAGTGAACAGATTCTCAATAATTTCTGCTTACAAGTACAGTGACACATACTGGCAGGGTGGCAATACAGCAGAATTTCCACCTCTGTTAAATTAGCAATACGTTTATCCTATTCTCTGATTACTGATGATATATGAAGCCAATAGAGTTGCAGAGGGTTCTTCTTTCCCATCAGATTAAAAGATGACAGTACTGTTTATGTTATGTAAATATACATGTTATGTACAGATGGCCTGTTCAGGAAAGAGCTTAGGTAGTTTTCACTTACTGCAATTACATAGTAATAGTATTTCAGAGGATAACTAAGATCTATTTTCACATATTCCCACAAATAAAATTGACTCAGGGCAAACTCTAGGCCAGTGATACTCAGTGGTTCAGGAGCCAAATTAGCGATCAACATTACCCAAAAGAGCCACAGTATGTGAATTCATTGTTTCATTTACCACAGTATTCTATATTCATATTTAAACAGTATGGCAGGGGACATATTTAGGGTATATATACATACATTATATATTATTCTCACAGCAAAATGACTGACCAAGTATTATTTTATCAACTACAATAGGTTAACAACATTGTAAAAGCATCCTGATTGGTTGTTAATTAAATCACACAGTGTTTTAATACCACGTGTGGCAAAGAGCTGCAGGAGACACATTAAAGAGCCACTTGTAGCTTGTGAGCATCAGTCTGAGTATCACTGCTCTAAGCTAAATGAGTAGCTCTTTATTATTGTGGTACTGTATGCCAAAAGCAATACATGACTTGAGCTGTACCATAAGAACGGAAAGCTTCTACAGAAACCACCATTTGCCCTGAAATGCTGCATTGTACACCTTTATCAGGATGCACAGCTTCTCACTTTTAAAGCAAGTCTACAGGAGAGATGACAAAAACCTACCAACAAGTGATTCCAAAATTGCACCCACATACACCTCCAAAGGAGGGACCAATCTTTCCATAAAAACACATGACATTGTCGAGTATGTGTCAATGATAAATTTTAAGAGGATATTCTCAAGATACTTTTGGCTCATTTGAGGAGCTGTAGGGTCTTTATCCTAAAATTCTAGCAGTGGGAATTCTGCTGTTCATGCAGGACCCTAAAAAAGCATGCAACGTACTGAAAGAGCCTAAAAAACCCCCCCAAATTTTGTAAGATCAAATGCTTACCTAAGTATTTACTCTCTGATGGTTGTTCTAACTCTCGGAAAGCACTGTATTTGTCTCCATAATCTATCATGCATGAAATAAAAAAAAAAGATAATTTCCGTTAAGATATTGTGAAATTAGGCTACAATCAGTTATGGTACAGATTAGATTGGTACAGATGCTGTCATCTTGCACTCTAAACATTTCATATTAACATTTTACCAATGTCACAGGCACTACTGAAATATGAAAAATTAAACTAAATGTTACATTACACGTAGTGTTAACAATTAAACAGTTTTTGTTTACCTCCAAACATAGCTGCACTTTCAGAAGGCTTTTCAACTGCAATTCCTTTAAACACAGCATATTTATCCATTGAGGAAGGGGTTTTAGTGCCAGGGAGTGGAATCAGCAAAGAAGGAACACTGAACAAACAAACACACAAAAAAGAAAGAAAAAAAAAGAAATAAAAGCTCGTGAGCAATCTAATTTCTTCCATTATTTAAAGCAAGCAGGATATTAGGAAATGAAACAGCAACTTATTAGCATCTGTCTAAATTGTGTGCATTAACACAAATGTGCTCTATCGAACATATGATAAAGGACTTATTTTACTTCTGCACTTTTAAAAGAGTTTTATAATGTTCACTACGTTCATAAAAGATCTGTAGCAGTAATATTCTCGTGCCAACCCCATTCATCTTACGCTAGTCACTATCTCATTGAAATTCTATCAACACTACTCTGGGCCAAAATAGTAAATTCTCCACCCACGAAGAATAGAAATGCCTTAAGTGCATTAACTTCTTGATTCTTACTTGTGACTGAACTGTTCTAGATATGCACGGCTGCAGTTTTTAAGCCAGAAGAGAACACACACATATATGTGAAAGACACTGTGGTTTCATTAATCACATTGTCCAAGATGGTTTAAGGACATGCCTTCTTGATGGGACCAGAAATGGGTAAGAATCACAGGCTGCCTGAGATTTTGCTAACTCTGTGCTTCCATTTCTTCTGCTTTTGATTACATTTCATTGCATATTGCAAAAATAATAAGAGAACAGATCCATTATTCCAATAGGAGCAAAGGAGAACGTTTGAATTTCTACACAGTGAAAGTCACCAAGTTCAGGTAGCCATATGTTCAGCAATGTCAGGATTATGCCATAATTATATGAACAGACCTTTTTGCACATGAACATATTCTAGTTAGTATAATAAACTGCCATAATAACCTAATACTGTGTTAGCAATTCTTGAAAGATTTAAACACGTATTGTAAGAGCTTCGCTTCCCCTCCCTTATCAGACCTTGGCAGCTCTGCAGAACAACATCCTTTACATAAGAATGACTGCATTTTACCTCTAGTTTATGTCATTTAACACCATACACACTGAAAATGTGAATGAATTTCTATGGCGTTCTTTGGCCTGGAGCAAGAATCTTTCCATAGCCATTTAAATCTCCTTATCAGCAGCCTGCAAGCTACACACAAACCCAGCACTTGCATGTGCATTCTAATGGTGGCTGGTGGGGCTTGCAGAATAAGACACACAGCAATGTCAAAAAATGTAGTTTATGGCAATATAATTTAATTTCACATCACTACAAAACGGACTGTTTGATATCCAATCTTGACATATATAACAGTTAATCTGGTGTACACTACACGGGTTTTTTTTTAAATAAATAAATAAAACTCCATAAGCAATTAGACTATAGTTCATTGTAATATTCCGTACAAAACTGAATGCTTTTACAACTGAATAAAGAGAACTACTGTAGTGGAAAACACTGATTTCTCATGACCCTCCAACTCCAATTACAAAACTTTAAACAAAACTGTGCTTACAGATCTGTAAATGCTTTTGCTATGACTTCCATTAACAGAATAATTTTATTAATTGCAGAACTATGCCTAAAACAAAATAAGGACTAAATAAAATATGGAGCATCTTCAGATTAATGTAGTGTTACTGATTTAAACTAGCAAAATGAAATCCCTTTCATGAAAAGCTATGACTCAGACTGTAATTTTACGCATGCTGCAGCTGAACAATTAATTCTAGTATCTTCCTCTGATGTCATTGTCAAGGAAGCAACCAGTAATCACTTTGAAAGTATTTGTTCTATCTACATACAAGAACAACCAGTTCAATACATACAGACAAAATGTTTTGTTCCTAAAATTAATTAAAATTAGGCAGGTGGGAGAAGCATATTATTTTGCCTTGTATAGTATGAGAAAACAAAATGTTGGGGCTTCTTGACCACAGGACATTGAAAGTCAGAATTGTGTGAAAGAATTCAGACTCAAAAGCAGGAAGCTTTGGATGATTACTTCTCTACTCCACACTGCCTAACCCATGACTGTACTGAGGGGATACTACACTCAATTAAATAAATAAGGGCCACCAGAATAGGAGAGGTGTTGAGCAACCATAATGCCAGTAAACCTCTAAAATTTGAATGAAACAGACTTTAAATGGGATTTCCAGGCAACCACCACAACTCAAAGTCAGATAATATATAAAAATTGGCTAAAATGGAAAGGATGAGAGGAGCTTAAAAAAAAAACCAAAAAAAAACACATCCACTGGAGCACCATGGCCACTTAAAAGAAGACAGTTTGGGGTGTGATCCTCTCTGCGTGCATTTTGGGTGTTTATGGCCTGATCAAAGGCAACTGAAGTCAATGGGAAGCTTTCTATGTACTTCAGTGGGTGCCAGATCAGACCTTCAACAAGGGCAGCTAATGCTAAGTGCATAGCTTATCTGTCCCAATTCATTCTTCTGAGAGCACAGGAATGAGTGGATTGCTATATGTAAAGCTTTGAGCCTAAATGCATGGCATGAAAGAACTCACGATTGTCAGCAACAGAATAAACACTTGAAAACCTATTCTCATACCTTTATATACAATTTATCTCAGCACGATGAATGGAAGTCTAAAGAATGGTCAGCAATTTATATACGTTAAATGTCAGTTTGGATACACTACCATTAAGATTTCTGAAACGGCTGCTGAAAGAAACTGCCAGAGTCAAGATCAGGTGACGGTATGAAATTTTGGGTTAGAAAGTTAGACAGAGAAGAAAACATTTAATTGCTTTAAAAAGGATATTTAAGTTATTGAAAAGAAATTCAGAGATCTACTCCACCTGCTCCGGTGCTGAGAACTGGTTGCTTTGGAGGATCCAGGTCCCTCCCCTTGGAAATCGGAGAAAGATTCGTCGAGTGAGACAGACTTTGAAGCATCCTGAAAATCCTGGAAGTCATCATCTTCTGGTTTAACCATCTGGATTCCATAAAATCATGAGACCCCCCCATTTAAGACGAGAAAACACATTACCTTGACATTTTAAGTATATATGGAATAGTTTTTGCCTACTCAGTAAATTTCCTATACACTTCACTGCAAAGTCTTAATATACAAATCAATAGTTAAAGGGAGCAGACGAAGCCCTACAAAATGTTACTGAAAGAAACAATTGAGGGGAATGGACTACATGAAACAAAAGATCTTTTGTCAATTTCCATAATTATGATAAAAAGTGAATTTATGTGGAATACAGGCACAAGATAAGCTTAACTCTAACAAATATCTTTTATTCATTCATAAAACAAGCACAGTGCCAACATGTGCAGTAAAAGCTTCCTTATGCTGTCCAACAAACAGGACTGAACCTTGCTTTGGAAGATCCGCAGCTAAACGCTAGATGATTGTTTACTCTGCAAAGCCATTGAGCCTTCAGCAAAGGCCCTGAAATGGGCAGCAATGGTGCCAAGGGTTATTTTATTATGATGGGGTGGACATCTGTCCTTGAAAGAATGGACTGAGAGAAGCAATTCATTTCACGGAGACCACTGAAGAACCAAGAGATAGACACATGACTATGTAAAGCCCTTTGATAAGTTACTAGTACTAGTTAAATTTACTTTTCAAATAAATGGTCTAGAAACATTTTACGTAAAAGGATAAATGGACACAAATCAGATATTAGGAATGGCAATATACAAAAACCTGTAGGAGAACACTTCAACCTCCCTGGACACACAATAGCAGATGTAAAGGTAGCCATCCTGCAACAAAAAAACTTCAGGACCAGACTTCAAAGAGAAACTGCTGAGCTTCAGTTCATCTGCAAATTTGACACCATCAGCTCAGGATTAAACAGACTGTGAATGGCTAGCCAACTACAAAAGCAGTTTCTCCTCCATAGGTGTTCACACCTCAACTGCTAGAAGAGGGTCTCATCCTCCCTGATTGAACTAACCTCGTTATCTCTAGCCTGACTCACTCTTGCTTGCATATTTATACCTGCCTCTGGAAATTTCCACTACATGCATCCAAAGAAGTGGGTATTCACCCACGAAAGCTCATGCTCCTATACGTCTGTTAGTCTATAAGGTGCCACAGGACTCTTTGCAGCTTTTAAAGATCCAGACTAACACGGCTACCCCTTTGATAAATGGAAACTAATTGCAAGGATTCTGTTCTCCACACTGCCCTTCCAACAACACAAAAGCAAAAAGTGTATTTAGGATCTCACTAGATATGGAAGACATCTGTTACTAAAGGACTTCATCCCAGACATTAATGTATTATACTTGGTTTTAGCCAAGTCATCTTTGAATAGAGGAAGAACATAATGGAAGCAAAAATCAATCAGTATATGCTGCAAAACATCAAAAGGAATATGCTGTGGATGTTGGGCAAATTGAATTTTGAATAGCAAAACTGATTGCTAAGATCAATTTATGCTTCCAGAAAATTTGGGTATTAGCCAGATCATCTTTTCTATCACCGGTACACAGCTTTCAGTTCTCCCTGTGGTGGTCTCACTTCTGTTTTACTAACCAGATAACAAAGGTCTTATTTAGTTTACATGTAATTCCACTTCAAATGTTGTAAAAAAGGAACTAACTAGAGGCCTTTTTCGGGATGCAAGAGCTTAGGAAGGGAGAAGAAATTTGTCTAGCTCTTCTAATGCCACCTGAAAGAGACGGAAACATCAAAGAGGCTTGCTACAGCATGGTCTTCCATATTTAAATGGGCATGTTCTAGATTTCAGTTTCATTTTTAACATTTACTTAAAATCCAGTTGTCATTATGCAGCTTTGAAACAGTTTCCCTTGCAATGATAATACAGATTTATTATGCTATAGAAACAGCACTAACCTGGTTTGTGGGGTAAGATGGCATGAAACCACTAGAAACCTGTGCTGCAGCTCCACCCACTGGTGGAGTTATGTTCATTCCTATGACTGCCTGTCCAATATTAAGAGGCATGGAGACTGGCGGTCCAGAGGGCCTCATAGGCTGTTGATTCACTGTGGCAGGCAATGAAATTGGATATCCACTTAAAGTAGGGACAGGAGCAGCTGGAAATTGGTTTAAAACATCGGGACTCACTGCAGGTACTCCTCTCTGCACAAGGAGAGAAATAAAGAGATAGCTACATGCATTACACATTTCAAATGACTATTTCCTCCATCTGTACTCTTATTTCTCAACTAATTTTTTAATTTATTTATTGAAACTATGAAAATGCAGGGAGTCAGTCCTTCTTCAATTCTGTCTTTTGCACACAGAAAAGGCTACTGAATTTTACATGATCAGGGTGAACCTACACATACAATATGCTGGAACTGATACAGTTTACTGCTAGATCTCATACGGATCTATAGACTCACTTGATTCACTTACTAAAAAACACACACAAGAATTGTATCTGAATGCTCAAAATTTAGCACTGGCTGGAGCTCACTGAACATGGGTAGGTGCTATTCAAATTTTCCCCACACATCTCCAACAACGTACATCAGTGCCTATCTTCACTGTCCCATCTAGTCTACTCCTGGATTTCTTTTCTGTCAGCATCTGATCATAGTGAAGTTTGCAAAACTTGAAAGGTGGTTTTTGCCATTTCAGACAAGTTTCTATTAAACTAGGAACAGCCATGACATTATACTATAACCTGACACAAAGGTTAAAACCTAGACTACACATGCCAAAAAATTAACAAATTCACCCACTGCCCAGATGCTCAGATAATCTAGTGAAGGGGCCCATATCACTTCCTAAATAGATAGCTATACAGCATAAAAGAAAAGCCAAAGCCAAATACAAACTTAAAGGAGTCCTGAAGAAGAAATAATAGCTATAAATGCAAAGGGTCACATCCTGGATTCATTGAAGTGAATGGGAGTTTTGCCAGGATTCATTCAGTGTATTTAACATGTGGTATAATACAGGTACACGTGTCCATACACAACATACTGCAGGGACGTTACAAAAGTCAGTGACAGTTTATCAAGAGGAGGTTAGACCCTTTTCCATTCCCCCAAAAGTCTGTCTCAGTCACTTGTACCTGAGTTACTGCTATCATAGCCAGGACAGTATAAAGCTCTTCTTTGGTAAGTTTTCCAGGTGTGGTACGATTGGTTAAGGCCCATATTTGTCCAAGGGTCTCCCTGGGAAGTCCAGATGACATCAGAATGGGATAGAGTTTAGCAGTATCTATTCCAGTAGGAGTCATAGTGGTTTCTAAAATTTTCTTATACAAATCTATTGAGGGAAACACAGTGTTGGCGGATGAAAATAAATATTTTCAAGTGATTTTAAGATAATTTTTCTATTCTAACTATAAAACTATGTTAAGGGTTGTAATATTGTTGACATAGAACGTTACCAATTTGATTAGGCATCAGTGTTAAAGTTGGCACATAATACTAGAAGTTTCATCTATATATAACTTCTCATTCTACCTGTACATTCAAATTCAAACAAGCAGGTGAAGAAGAAAAGAAGTTCCCCAAACAAAGCCCAGAGAGATAGGGAGAGAGATTTGTAAGTTACTAAGAAAAATGGAAAATGAATAAAAATGCTGCATACTCCAGCACAACTCTACCAATTAACTTGAGGCCTGTCAAAAGCATCCTCCAGTCCCTTGCAAGGAGAACATAACATGCTGTATTAAACAAGCTGCACCTAAATCAAGATAATTAGTAGTATCAATGTCTTAACTGATTTATTTTCTAACGAACAAACTACATCAAAAACCGTCTGGCCAAAACATCCTATTCCCTTCAGTTTCAATACACAATAAAACAAGTTGCTTACAGTGGTTATTTTTCAGAAATTTAGGAGACTCAACTCTGCCAGCTAACTGTGCTACTTCACACCACATTCTGGGTGTTATATTCAGCAAGACTTTTGACTATTCCTCCAGCACAAAAGAAAATTACCTATGCCACAGCAGATTCTCTATACCTAGATAGAATGAAAAGCTTACATTCTAAGACAGACACCTGCTTTATTAAAGTGGAAATCAATTAATCAGGAAAACCGACAATCCATACAACACAACTAGTTCTCTTTATAAATTTCACTACATATTTCTGTAATGAGGCCTCTGGATAATCCTTGTGTGAAGATAGCCAGAGCAGCATTATGTAGTTAAAATTCAGTGCAATCTAATCAATATTTAGTACAGCACTTCATTTTCTGTTTACTATGCTTCTGGGATATATAAGGCAAATAACCTTAAGAAATGAGCCTGCTTAATTACAAGAGATACTGAAAGGAGACAGCTCACAAAAATGTAATACCAACCATGGCAATTCCTATTAAGATAATTTGCCATCATTATAACCTCTAGATTTAACATTTACTATGTTTGAAGAAGCTCCTGCCTTCTCTGAATACAGATAAAGCTACCAAAGACGTGTAAGACATCCAAAAACATGTTTTGGAATGCTTGCCAGTTTGTGCAACGAAATAAGATTGCCCTAACAAACACTATTGATCTGTGAAACTATGAAACAGATTAGCTAGGAACGTTGCAGAATTCCCATCCTGGGAGGTCTTTCAGAACCAGTTAGACAAACACCTGCCAGGGATGGCCTAAGTGTCCTTAATCCTGCTTAGCACAGGGGGATGGACTGGATGACCTCTTGAGGTCCCTTCCAGCCCTCCATGTCTATGATTCTCCAAAGCTATACTTGGAACAGATGAACTTGGTCATTACTACTGCTGCTATACCAAATCTAAGAAATACAATGTATAGTTCAGACAACAGCACCAATAACCTAGTTTTCTCAGGAGTGATTAAAAAACTTGCTTTACAAATTAAATTAGTGATCGAGAAATTCATGAGCTGCTCTTCCTGCTTCTACTCAAAGAAATATATGTTGACATTAGTCAGCTGAAGTTTAATACTAAATTTAAGACACAAACATCAGTGACTACAAGTATGATGACTACTTCAGTAAATAACTTAAAGTTAAGTGTGTATTGCATTTAAACATCGCATGCTGATATGCACTTGGGGAAGTGTAACCATTCATAGTCACACTCAATAACAACAACTCTGCAATGGCAGGGGACAGGATAAGATGACCTGATAGGTCCTTTGCCAGTGTTGTGCAGGAGGTCAGAGAAGATTGTCATCATAGTCCCTTCTGGTCTTAAAATCTAATCATGTATTTTCTGATTCTATGGTGAAACCTGACTTGTCATAGTATGAACAGTACTGAGTAAGAACAAAGGGGACACCATCAATCTTAAATACTCATACATAAACTGGTATTCCTCACTGTCAGAACCACAGAACCTCTGACTCAAGCCAACATGAACTTGGAACAAAAACTACTGTACTGGAAAGCTTCTGTATCAAACCTGACAACGTTTAGGGATTTGTATTCGTTTTTATTGTAGATGAAAAAAAATACTGATTTGGGTAAGACATTAAGCAACATTGAAGTGTAAGGATTTTTATACTTTTTTCTTTAAATGATGTTTTAGCAGAATATTTTACCTGGAGCCAAGCTTTCATTGTAAATCCAAGGTGGCATCATTTGCTGGATCGGATCTTGGGAAGGGAATACTCCAACACCTAAAGGTATGCAATATATTAAAAAAAAGAGATGAGAATCATATTCCTATTTTGAATCGGAAAACGTCTGTGACACAGTTTTTGGTATTTCAGCCAGCCCATTTCAGACATGGAATCATCTGGCTACATGAGAAACCAAAACTGATACTGCTACAAAATGACCTGAAACAGCAACAAAAATACAATTAAATGCACAAGATGAAATAAAGAGCCACTCATTTTCCAAACGTATTTGTTTGATCAGGAACACAAGTCCCATCAATTCCAAACATTTCATAAATAGCAGTGGTTCTGCCATGCCTATTTACATAAAGTTGATGGGCAGAACATTAAGGCTATTTGGGGAATAATTTAATTTAATCACACTGAAACAAGTTTAGAACATATACTCTGTGTTTCACAGGTGAACCCCTCATGGTAAAAGCCATTAACATCTTCTGTCAGACTGGCTTGCCCCATTAGACCCATCCCCTCACCTCCTTATCCTACCTAGTCATCAGCTCAAGGAGGTGGCATTGCTGTTGTTGTCACTGCAGAACTCTAATGCATTCTGTCCTCTCCAGTCCCCTATAACGTGAATATTTCACTCCCCAGACTCAAACATTATGTTAATTTCCCTGCTTGATTTCACCAAGTTTGACCCTTCTTAGTCCCTGCTCTGATTCACCCTTCAGTAGATTTCATCTTCACCTCGGACTTAAATCAACATTGTGACAAGTCCTTTGACCCCTTTTCTAACCGGCCACCTTTCCCATTCATACCCATTCTTTCCTTCATCATGATCAATAAAACCTGCTCTTTTATTTCTTGTTTTTCTTATAATCTTCCCTACACTGACCACTGCCTGATTACAGCAGAATACTCTCTCCCATCACCTGACTGCTCAGAAAGTGACCTTCCTTCCCTCTGAAGAACCCGAATCCTGCTCGTCTCTCCAACCTGTTTTGCTTGCTCCCTCCTTTGCCCGCCCTTTCCCACAGTTACCTGCAACACTTCCCTATCCTCAGCTCTCTCATACCTCAAGTTCTACTTGGTTTACAGACCAGCTGTGGGACTCTGTGCATACGAGCTGATGGATTGAGAAAAGCAGTGCTGAATGTCCCATATTTGTTCTTGATCTCTTCAGACTCTACAGGGATTCCCAGTAAGCCACAAAGTTTAATTTCTACTTATCCCTAATTCCAAAGCTGCTAAGAACAGTCACTCCCCTCTTCCATACCAGCAATTCTCTTCACCCAGCCAAGTAAGAGGCATTTGCTTTCTTCTTTCAATCTAAGATTGCCCTAACTTGTAGCTTTTCCATCACCCGTAGCAGCTCATCCTCAGGCATTCCCTCCTTTTTCTCCTCCACTCCTTTTACTTCCCTTCCATTTTTGCTTCCACCAGAAATTTCTGATATAATCTCACCCCTAAAAAAATCTCCTCACCTCTCCTATCATTTGCTCCCATCTCCCCATCCCTTGTTTCCTACATTACAATAGATTGATTTAACTCTTAGTAACTTCCAATTCTCTGGAAGTAGGGTTAGCAGTAAAATGCAACCATCCAGGAACTTCTTGGGATGATTTCCTTGTCCCCAATATCACCATATTACTGCTAACCCTACCTCCTCAAAGTACTTGAAATGGTTGCACTCATCCTTCAAATCCTTTAACAATATCCTGGACTGTTTTCAATGAGGGTTTCTACTTGGGCTACAGAACAGAAGTGTTCTTTTATGTATAGCTAGCTTCTGCTTTTCTGAAACAGAGCCTCCTTCTCCCACCTCACTAAACTTGGTCATGGTGAATAATTCCATCCTCTTAAGCAGAGTCCATATCAAAGCAGGCATCTCTGGCTCCTTCCTGTCATGGGTTCTATTCTTACCTATGAAATTCCTGACTCTAGTAGTGATCCTCTCCTTTCACACAACTCTTAGCTGTTGGTGCCATAATCTTCCCTTTCTGCAGCTCCTATTTTCTGGACTGCATTCCTGCCTCATCAACTTTCCATTGATTCTCAGATCATCCAGAAATACCTTTTCTTCCTTCATTGTCTCAATTTCTCTTTCCCCCTACCATTTTAATCTTTGCAGCTAACTAGAGTGTGTCAAGTTTGTACAAGAGACACAATATCACTACTTTACATTAATTGTATTGTAAACAAATACAGCTCTTATTTCACAGTGTGCATTACAACTGTATTTTATTTCAAATTACAGAGTAAATGGGTAATTTGAGCTACTAAAAAGCATTATCTGAAAATAGAATGATTTAATTTCATCTTGTAACCAGTAATTGGTGGGTATGGGGTTTTTTTGCGCATTGGTGAGGTCCCAACTATTAAGAGCAATGTCATCAAACAGCAATCAAGGTGGTATATAGAAAAATTAATTGAACTAAAGTACTGGCAAGACACCACAATCCCTTAAGAAAGTGCCAACTTGAATTTTTAAATTTAATTATCTATATATTTTTTTTAATTGACCGCTGTTTCAAGAACAGAGGCCATGCAAAGCTATGCTCATGTCTCCCCATATTTGAACACCCTGGAGTTCAATATCTGAGGGAGTCACCAAGCACAATTTCAGAGCAGTATCAAAACATACCAACCAACACCTTTAACCTGTTTTGGTTCAACAGTTAAAGTTCTCTGTAGTTTGCTCCATAGTCAACAATACTAAAATCACATCTACAACAAGAACCTGCTTAGTTAATACTGTACTGTCAAAGTATTGACGTAGAATTGCATTTGTATCTGGTCCAGCTTGTGAAGTTTTGACTTCTACAAAGCAGGCTTTAAAAAAAAAAAAAAAACATGCCAGGCTAATGGCTATAGTATAATATTGCCCAGACAAACGATTTAGCTTAACTAGAACATTTTCCCCTCTAGCAGTCGGGTGAAGACCCATTCTTCAGTAGTAAGTTTCTCATGTGGGTTTTTTGGGTCCATACCCTCCCCCATGCCACCCAAATTAATAAAAAAAAAATACAAAGCATACACAAACAAATAGGTTTTGCTGAAATAAGAAGACAGAATATTTTAAAACAGCAGAGAATCTGTTTAGAGAAACTTGTTAAAATGTTTATAGTAGATGCATGGTGGAAAGGATTCAGAGTAAATTCATGTATGTGTTACTTGCAGTCAGGAGCGAGAGGCTTTGCCATATTATTGAAGCAGGGATTCAGAGCAAAATGATGCAGCATTTGCCGTAGAATTAGTGTGTAAGATGTTAGCATTCAAGCTGCATTCTATCAGATTTACACTTTGTCAAATGTTTCATTTGCTCACCACACTCTTCAACTGCTATGTTTTGTTGTGAAGCCTTGTACACCTCTGCAGCGGTGGTACCACTTACAAGCCCACCTACAGCATTCCCGTTATTCACGGTTACACTGGGATGAACTTGGCTTGCGGCTGAGGCTTTATGCTCAATTTCAGATGTTTTAAGTTTGGTTTGCTCCTGTCCAGATGCACTTAAATGATAAATTAAGAGCGACTCCTCCAAGGAATGGCCTAGACAAACAGCATGAGGAATTACTTTTATTTGGTTAATCACCTTTGTACGTATTCTCCCCCCAAATCATAATCCCACTCCCTCAAAGGAAAGATGTGTCAAGTCATACTTAATGGTACCAAGTAATGTGACTGATGGCTGATTCTCCAGAGCACTCTCTGTGTTCACTCAGGACACCAATGCAATTCAGGTCAAGCATCTTCTGCTAGACCTTGAGCCTGCCCAGCACAGGGGGTCGGCAATGTACTTTTTTCCTTGTGCTTGTAATGAGCAGAACAGGAAATACCCTTATTGCTGCACAGCCATCAAGTCACTCCTGACTAGTAGCAGGAATAAGGGCTAGTGGCCTGATTCAATGCCCACTGAAGTCTACGGGAAACTTTACATCGATTGGATCAGCCCAGAGAGGGGAATGTGAAGTCAAGCTCCACATTGGCATAACAAGGTCTACGTTTATGCCCATCTCTCCCCTCTATTTTTCCCCGCACTTCGGCCTCTTATGAATAAAGGAGATGGCACACAAGAGGCTTTAGACTCAGCTGTTTATTATAAAGAGTCACATGCATCCCACTTAACTTCCCTTGGGCTCACACAAATTCTCCGCTTACATGTGCTAGAACGTAGCCACCTGTCTCGGGCTAGGGGAGAAGGAATTGCGGGATCAATATCAATTATTTTCTCCTATAGTTCAGAACGCTGCCACCCCAAATTATAGAAAGGTTTTGGTACAAGAATGATCTTAAATCATCTGCTAAGTGTGCCAATTTCCCCCCACTGCCATGAGCAGAATTTTATTAAGAATTAATACAAACTTATTTCAATTTATCCATTTGTCATTTACCAGTATGTAATTTTGGATTACAAAAGGGAGTGTTAAAGCGAGGTAGGCAGTGTTTCCATGTAAATACTATCTCCAATTGTAGAGCTAATGAAGATAGGATGGGTTACCTGTTTTAGGGGTTTTGTGCGAAGATGCAGAGGTAGAGAAATAAGGAACCTGCCCAATGGTATCATGTAGGATGGAAGATACTGGAATCTGGACTGAAGGCAGAGGTTTGACTACAGCCTTTTCTGAAAGCAGTTGCCGAGCCTGGGTGGTAGGGTGGTAAGACTGAAAAGCCTGGAAAGAGGACTGAGGCACCAATGGTGGGGTTTCAACAGACCCTTGTATAAAGTCACTAAATTCTTCATCATCAAGAAAAGCAGAGGATTGGGAGACAGATACAGTAGAATGTGATGGTGTAGGGTGATCTGTAAAATGGAATGAACACACGCAATGGAAGGCAATGAGGTAAAGAAACTTGGTTGGGTGGAAAGGTGGGGAAAACAGTTTCTAAAAATGGCAATTATTAAATGTAAAAAACAGTGGTTGGGAAAAGTCAGAAGTATATGCAGAACTATTTGACCAAAATAATGAGAATATTTACCATTCTATCAATCGACCACACTAAGGCAAGGTAAACTTCAGCTGCTTTTTTCCCCACTATAAACCCCCCCTTCCAGATTTTTATAACTTGTCCAGTTGGGATGAAACTTGATACTTCCACAGTCTGTATTAAGGTTTCCCCACCTCTTATATTAAGGAAGTTTAAAACAAATGTAACCTGTGCTGCTGTGTTTAGAGCAGTGGACTGGGACTCAGGATATCTGAATTCTTTTCTCAACTCTGCCAGTAATTTGTTGTTACACTTTAGGCAAATCACTTAAACCCTCTTTTTGCTCAATGTCCCGATGAAATAGGGCTGATATTGACTTTGGTAAAGCACTTGGAGTTACTCAGATGAAAGGTGCTACCTAAATGCCAAGTAGATTAAACAGACTTGAAGTAATCACCAGATCATTCTTACAGGACAAGATATTCTAATGTGAGTAGTGATTTTGGATGCCCAACTTGAAACACCTTAATATGCCCCCATCCTTTGAAAATCAGGTCTCTTTAAGGTGTTTCAAGTTAAGAACCTAAAAATTCAGGAACCCAAATTCACTAGTCATTTGAAAATCTTTGGCCACAGTATTCAAGTTACGTCATTCTAAACAAATCTATTGTAGAACAAAATGGCAGTTCTACAGCAATGTGGCCAGACTCAAGAGCTATAATGGAAAAAAAAAAAAAATACCACTTTCATAGGCAACACTCCCTCAAGGCAACACAGTATATGTCAAGCACAGCATGACCATCATTGACTTTATTTACATGCATTTGGACTAACCACTTTATCCTCCAATGGTTCTGTTTCATTGTACCACTTAGGCGTATTTCCATCAACACAAACAAAGCCTTTAAATAAATCTATATTTTAGGTAAGGGTAGGTTGTCATGCTTTATTCCATGTACTGTATACATCCTTAACAATAACTAAGGGGCACCTAAAACTAGCAAATCCACCTTAAATTACACTAATGTATTGCCAGAGTTTCTATTTCAATTCTACACAATCTTTAACTAAAAGCCAGCCTTTAATTAAAAACTAGGCAACAAATTTTTGCTGTCCCACAATTGGTCTCTTGAGAGGTTTCAAAAATGTACTTTATTGCAGGTTTCTGCTCAGCTTGGAGAAAGCTTGTATAGGGGTCAAGCTGGAAGTGCATTAACCATAATAAACACTGCTCTCCAAGTGAGTTTTCACAGAGGAAAATTGAAACATGAAAAGCACAAGAGGCAGCAAATGCAGCTTCCAGACATGTTATTCACCATAGTGGCACAACACCACATAATTTCACAGAACTATCTGCACTAAAGTGACAGTTCCTTTGATGCAAAACCTTGAGAAATAACACAAGAGTTTTTGACCACACATAAACAAAAAGTGTGAACAACAGTCCCTTTATAGGAATAAAATAGCATCAAAATACTGACTTTTTCTTAGCAACATTATTCTGTTCCATAGAGTTGGTTTAAATCCTGCACTCTGTTGCTGAATGTCAACATACTTCATGTCACTCTTTCAAATTCTATATTTTTATCTTCTGTATCAAGTTATTGAACTAACTCATCTCCATTGCCTGCTTTTCCAACAAAGTTATTTTTTCCCAAGTCTGGATTATTGTGACATACCTTATTTAGCTCAAGGACTTCATGTTCAATAACACCATTAATTCCTTTAAATGGAGTTTTAATAAACTCCATCATTAAGCATCAAATGAAAGCTATTGTGGATGACATCTTGATTTTTCATATAATATAATGATGGTTTATTTGCCATCTCTTTCCTACAGTGATTTCTAATTCTGGCAGCTGATTTAACACACCCTGATGCAAACATGTTGAGCCACCAGCAACCCATAAGTTTGGGAGATATAAGAAACGTAGCAGTGGGTAATTCCACCAGACCTCCATGTAAAGGACTCTGACTGTGCAGCTAGAACTCTCTACATCTCCATCCTGTAGTTTGAAATTAGGTCCCACTAGAACAGATCTGACAGATTTAGCGTGGTCTATATATAAAACAAACCCATTACAAACACCACTGTTCAAGGTATTTCCACTCATCAGTGGTTTGTTTATCAGGGATGATGGGCCCAAATAACTTTAGACTTTGCAGTTCAGATCTATCTCTACTGTAAGCGACCACAGGAAAAACACCCAGTTTTTAGACAGGCGTCCAAATGAAATCTGTTGCTGGAACTCTTGTCAAAAATTCATAAGATGACAAGGTAGAAAGGGAATCTCCACTCATTTGAACAGTTTTCTGCTCGGTTTCCTTGCACTAGTCAACATTTTAGTAGTACAGTTCAGAAGAACAGTGCTAGGGAATTGTCAAACTTGCTAGACAGCGAAAAGTTATTGCATGAACTTGTGAGCAACTTGAAGACCACCAACAAATAGCAGTCAGAGTGAAGATACAGTGATGGAAAAATCATCTGGGGACAAGCTTAGCTAATTGAGGCTTCATTTCAGGCAGGACAAAGGAGTTAGGTTCCCCACAATTAACATTTTTCTCTTTAGAGGGAATATTTTATGATGTCAATTACTACTAATGTAATAATTCCTCTGAAAATGGATTATTAAAGGTTTTTAATTTCCCCCATGTCCAGATAATGGAATCTGAGCAAGCTATTATAGTATTGTGAAATAATTTTATAATGTTTTGATACTACTTAGCATGTATATAGTGCTTTTCAGCTTCAAAGCACTCTACAAACACTAATTAGTCATTTGACTAGAAAAAAAAGAAACAATTGTAACATTTAGAAGTGCAATGTATGAGGGAAGTTGGCAGATGCTACAGCTCAGTGTTAATATTCAAACTACAGTTGTTGGTATTTTTAAATGAAAGCTTAACAAGTTCTTTGACGAAATATTAGATCACAACTTTTACCCATGTATTTTATAAAGCATACTGCAGCTACAATGAAAGCTTCAGTTTACTGAATCATATACAATAACCAGTTCAGCTCAGACTGCCTGAATACAAAACAGCTCCATGAATTAAAGGTCCTTACGGACATGAAGCAGTATAATATTGCAGTCTTATTTTCAACCAAAAATAAAATACCTGTTTTTTTTGGATGCGATGCTGGAGTGGGGTGCATTTTAGCATCTCTTGAAAACCCATCTAAGTTTCCTTTAATAGCTTCCAAAGCATCATCTCTGCTCTTCTCACCTGTCTGAAACATGATAAAAGTTTCTTTGAAAGTGTCATGGTACAACAACTCAAAATCTTCTTCCAATATTCATAATTGTTTTGTCCGAAAAAGTAGCAATGTTTGTTAAAAAAAATAATCATACGAATTAAGCTCCATTTTCCAGTGATGGCTTCGGTAAAGCATAAACAGAAACCCCTTTACTTACAACAGAATTTATTCAACAGGTTACACAATGACAACAGCAAAGGTTTTTCACCCATTGGCATTTACATGTCTTCAGATGGGAATGAAAAGAGTTAGTATATGTCCAAGTTCTGGAAATTTACTGTTTAACAAGAATCCTTGTACTGTTGTGATTACTAGGTCTAAAAATGTACCTAGTTGTAAGCTCAAATGTAAAAAGTATGTGAAAGTTCATAACATGTCACAATAACTTTTTGCCTGCTTGGAAATTAACCACGGAAAACAGGTCAAGCTGTTTTCAATAATGAAAGTTCTGAACAAGTGCAAGAGACCCAGAGAGAGAAACTGTATTAATCCAAACAAAGAGGGCCTGCTGATATCATTCAAGGAAATCATTCTTGGTAAAAACAGAAGACGTGGAGCCAGAAATTGATTAACCAAAATTGGTGTGGTGAATATTAAGCCTAACTGGTGCACAAAATAATGAAGGGATGAGCTATGCGACACTCTTTTCCCATTTTTTGGAGTTCTTCAAGAGAGACTTTGAAAACAATCTCATCACCTGCCCCAATGCATTCCAGCTCATCTCATCTTCCATGACCCCAAAACGGAGCAGACCAGATCAAAAGACTTTCTTCCTGACAGAGAAGCCATTAGGCCTTGCTCTTGTTCAAGAACTTTTGTTTTTCACTTGTGAGTCCTAAGAATGATATCATTATGACAGCCAGTCCTCAGCCCATCACAGGGATACGTAATTGCCAGCGCTGCAGAGGCATGTAAGATCCTGTTCTCCCTCCCCTCCTTTTGTGTTATGTTCTGCACCCGTTTCCTTCCTCCTATTCTCTCTCTCACTCTCTCGGCTTTTCATCAAATCCTGAAATCAACTGCACTGTATCAGCACAGCAAGTTGAGATGACCACAATCCTGCCCTAAGGAGAAAAGACTCAGATAACAGCCCTGATTGGAATATAAACCAGGGACCAAGCAACAGGTGGGGTAGTTGACCTGCCAGAAAGAGCATCCATTTGTAACTGACCACCTAACCAGTGTACCAAAAACATCAACAAAAGCCATATTCCCCCACCTTTTCTGTCCTCTTTCTCCTCCACCTTGTGTCTGTCTCTTAAAAACATAAGTGAAAACCCTTCACACATCAGGACTGAGTGTAAAATTAACTCTTTCCTTTTCAAAGAAAGGTTGTTGCTTAAACAAATGACTGATATTTTGCCTCCAAAAGGAAAGAGACTTTAGTAGGTTTTAATTAAGTTTGTTTTGCATAATCACTAAATTCCAGCTTCAATATAAATGGTTGTTTTAATTTCTTGTGTTTTATCAATAAACTTTCAACTTCAGAATGAATGATTTTGGGTGTTTGCCAAGGAATCGAATAAACCAAAGCCTCTGCAGAAAAAAACCCTGAACCAAAGTATCACTGTTTTAATGCTGGACACCAAAGGAGTTTATAAACACTTATCTCATTTGGCCCTTGAGATCAATACAACAGTATTCACTTAAACTGTGCCACAACTTGAGAGCAGGGAGTCCAACTAATGAACATATTGACATTTTTATGTATTGTAGAAACCTATTTTGTTCCCAAACTAGGTTGTTTTCTTTTTCAAAAGCAGATGGATTGTTTGTTGAGCTACCACTGAGAGGAAAAAGGGATTCTTTTTCCTCAGACTTGGGTCAAAGTCTTACAACATTCACCTACTCAGACCACAGTGCCAGGAAAAGAGGCACTACTATAAAAAGCACCGTTTCTGTCTGGTTACAAATGTTACAGCAGCAGAGAAGACAGTCTGTCCTTAGAGCAGCGGGGAGATGCAGAACGGTGAAGTTATCAAGACAACAAAGGAAATTGATTCACTTTGCAATACCACATTTGTCTTGTTTTGATTACATAGCACCAAGAGAGGTGCTATGTACAAAGGGTTAAACATATCAGATGTTTTCAAGAGGCCTGATACAAAGCTCATTAATAACCAGACTCCCATTGGACTTCATCAGGCTTCAGATCAAGCCTTCGGTTGGGAAGGTGTACGAAAGAAGAATCTATTTCTTCCCTAATACATGAAAGCCACAGGTGGTGTTTTTTTTAAATCTGAAAATCAATAAATGCTGTTTATGATATACCTTTGGTTTCACACTGCTTAGGAGTCTCAGCTTTTGTTTCTGCTCTTCAAATTGGCGTCGTTTTCTCTCTTCTTCTAAGAATTTTTGCTGGTGTTCAAACCTTTTTCTAAAGTGAAACAATATCAAACATAAAAATTAAGCATTATTTGATGACAACTTCCATGCCAACCTTCTGAATATTGGTAACTTGGTTTTCACATTCCTCTCCTTTTTCACATAGATGCTTTGGCACACACTTTGCTACAGTCTCATAAAATTGGTAGAAAATAGCATATGCCACCATGAACCTCATACACCGCCTTCAAAGACAATGGAATGGTCTGCAACTAGCTTAACATTTTAGAATCCTAAATTCAATAGGAATGTCTCTAGGATATCCTATCCTATCTCCTAGAACTGGAAGGGACCTTGAAAGGTCATTGAGTCCAGCCCCCTGCCTTCACTAGCAGGACCAAGTACTAATTTTGCCCCAGATCCCTAAGTGGCCCCCTCAAGGATTGAACTCACAACCCTGGGTTTAGCAGGCCAATGCTCAACCACTGAGCTATCCCACCCTTGATAGGATGATAGTTTTTAATACACACAATACGCTGGGGAATTCCGCCGCCCCCCCAATAAGATTTTGCCAGCAGCATTAAAGCATCACTTACTGTTGCTCTTCTGCAAATTGTTTCTGCATGTCGGGGGTGTATTGTGGCGCTGCCGGGCGCATTCCTAAGAAAGAAGCCTGTCCCATAAAAGACATTCCTGTTGCTTGCATAGCCCCAAGGGGCATGCCACCCTATAACAATAAAATAAGTCTATGTTATGTATAGCAATCTAAAAATCCAGCATCTGGACTATGTCAGGTTGTGAACTCGTTAGAATCCATAAAAATAAGCAGGGCCAGGTCTGCTCAGTACTTGGACACGAGACCTCCAGAGACAGGGGCGGCTCCAGGCACCAGCACGCCAAGCGTGTGCCTGGGGCGGCAAGCCACGGGGGGGGGGGGGGGGAAGGGGGGGGGCAGCCTGCCGGTCGCCGCGAGGGTGGCAGTCAGGCTGCCTTCGACGGCATGTCCGCGGGAGGTCCGCCGGTCCCGTGGCTTCAGTGGCAATTTGGCAGCGGGTACGCCGAAACCGCGGGACCGGGTACCTCCCGCAGGCAAGCCGCCGAAACCGCGGGACCGGCGGACCTCCCGCAGGCAAGCCACCGAAGCCGCGGGACCAGCGGACCTCCCGCAGGCAAGCCGCCGAAGGCAGCCTGCCTGCCGTGCTTGGGGCGGCAAAATACATAGAGCCGCCCCCGTCTAGAGACAATCCAGGTGCTATGCACTGCAAAAAAAAAAAAAAAAAAGCATTGGTTATTCAGCAGGTAGCACTCCTCTCAGTCAGGACTGAACCAATACCCCTAGACCAGTGGTTCTCAACCAACAGTCTGCATACCCCTGGGGGTACTCAGAGGTCTTCTAGGGGGTACATCAACTCATCTAGATCTTTGCCTAGTTTTATAACAGGCAACATAAAAAGCACTAGCAAAGTCAGAGCAAACTAAAATTTCATACAGACAATGACTTGTTATTGTTATTCAGTATATACTAAAATGTGAGTACAATATTTATATTCAAATTGATTTATTTGAAAGGGGTATAGTAGTCTGGAAAGGTTGAGAGACACTGTCCCGGATGGTACTAGGAAGGTGCTGGGTTTTTGGATAAAAAAAATCATGATCCTGACTACACAATTAAACAATCCATGACACTTTTCTCAAGAGTAGGGATGTTAACTCAAGTGTCATGACCCACAAAGTCTCCCCTTTAACTTCAATATTATTTTCTTCTTTCCTTCCTATCCTAAACTACTGTGCAGTGTTTGTGTTGTGTTAAAAAAATTTCACATTCCACACAAGCGGTGTACAAAATAATTCCTAGACATGTCGTTTGAATAGTCAGTAAAGTGTGTCAATTACTTTTGGATCCATTTGTATGAAACGCATGTGTAAGTACACACACAAGATTTCATAAACAAGATTTCCCTGATTTGGGTAAATTATTATTTTCACTGATTTAGGAAATAAAATCTAGTGATTTTATAAAATTTATTTCTTAAAATGTTATGACATTCTTTTACATATATTCCAATATAACCAATTCCTAAACAATTATGTTTTCAGGATCAATTTATACATGCATTGATTAAGTTAACGAACATTGGGTTGTAGCCCACGAAAGCTTATGCTCTAATAAATTTGTTAGTCTCTAAGGTGCCACAAGTACTCCTGTTCTTTTTGCGGATACAGACTAACACGGCTGCTACTCTGAAACCTGTCATTAACAAGATATTGTTAGTTGTATGGACAGATCTTTGGCCAGTCCATTTTCAATTGGGTCACAGCTTTAACACTTGTTTTCAGGTTCCCTTGAACAAAACTACATTTTACAGGTCTGTCTCATCTTACGCTGGGGTTATGTTCCGCGGTCAGCGCGTAAAGCGAAAACCGCGTATAGTCAAAATTACATTGCGTGTAATGGCGGGCAGAATCACCCGCACTACATGAACAGTATTTAAATGGTTATTTTTCTCTTTGTTATTGTTTTTTGTTTGTTTTTGCCAACCGCATAAAGCTGAATTTGCGCATGTTAATCGCACGTAAGATGCAACAGACCTGTATTTTAACATAAGAACTATATTATGTAACTTAAGTTTATTAGGTAGCTGATGCTTGAAACTGCCCTATGAAATATAACAATATTTCATTATAGTTTTAATGTCAATTGTTCTGTAATCCAGGATGATGAGATTTTCTTCCATAAATTCAGCTACTGTTACCATTGCTGATGTATTCAAAAAAACACACAAAGTGAAAGCAGTAAATGTCTTATCGTCTTTTATTATTTCTAACCAAATCCCCTGAAAAATATATTTTTCTTCTGCAGTTTTGTAAAATTCATTATCCATTAAAGCAAATAAGGGGCAAAAATATAGTTATATTCAATGCGCTATATAACGCAACTTTATTAGATTAAGGTTTACATGATTAGACAAGTGGAGATTTACACGTAAAAGTGGTGGGCACTAGAGGATAAACAAATGAGATAGTTTTTGAAGAAATGTATCAACCTCCCACCCCAAGTGTTAAGTTCCTCACATCATGTTGTGCACTATACTGTAATCTTACTTCTCAGCAATTAGCAATATAAAATGCACGTCCCTCCCCCCCCCCACAGCGTGGGAAGAAACCTTGTGAAGATTATGAGGAGTTATGTAGGAGGAAAGTTACTTCAAGCGTGCAAAAAGGAGAGAAATTCAATAGCAAAACTGCAGGAGGAAGAACAATTTGGAAAATTGATTTGATCAAAAGGAAGGAAATTTACAGTATTAAAGAAATGTCCAAAATGTTCGCTGTTCCCTGGGGCCTTGAGGCCTTGTTTGATTAATTTGTGAACCGCCACATATGCTTACAATATTCTATAGGTAACTAGTATATATAAATGACAAAAAACGTACAAAGCTGAAATCACAACATGGGTGATCATAGTAAATATAATGAACACAGGCCAATGGATGTTCCCCATAAAGAGCTCATTTCAAATACTGGACAATACACTGTCTTAGTAGACAGCAAATAGTTATGAATATAAAGCAAAGGGAAAATAGGAAGGGTGAAACAAGGTGAAAAGACAAAAAGAGCGTGTGCTGTTGGAGTTGTAGATAATAGAAGCTATTTAACACTAAACACTGAACCATAGTGAAGGCAGTATCAGGAATATTTAACACAAGGAATGGTTTACAAACTCCCTCTTATACTGAGAGTTTTGTTTCCATTACTGTTGAGTGCCATCTTCCCTCCTGCAGAAGGGCCTTTCTCTTACTGTGTTTACTGCAGCAATAGATACAAAGAAGTGGAACTCCCAAGTTCTGACATCTAAGAGCAAACTACAATACCCAATGTTTTCTCCCCCCATGCCCTTGTTCATTATTGCTCCCAGCTATGACAGTGAATAATGCACACTGAGCTCCCACTGCCTCACCCACTCCCCACGCTACTTATCCAGATCACAAGGAATCCCATAAGTATCATGGCAATTATAAAATACTTTCAGAGAGAAGCTTGTGAAGCCAAAATAATGCAATGCAATAAAGACACCTGCCTATGGGCTACTGCCCATCTCTTCATCCTGAGGTCACCCAGCAGCGGCAGAACCCTTGACACTTCTGACTTCAGAGGCAGGTCCCAGGACCTCTTTCAGGGGTCAGATGTCAACAGCCTTACTGACACATACATTCAAGTATCTATTTAATTTCACATCTACTGAAAACAAATGTTACTCACGTACCTGCATGGTCATCGGTCCAGGAGACATCTGAGAGCCGTAATTCATTCCCATCATGCCTGGCATATTAGATTGCATGACAGATACCATTGGAAACCCTTGCTGTTGAATAGGAATCATACCTACACCAGAACATTAAACATTGATTAAGTCCCCAGTTGGTTCTAAAGTTCATCTTTCAAATTAAACAGATAGAGGGAAGGAAGGAGCGACTGGCAGTTCTGCGTAAGTTAATACAAGGACTCTTTACTCAAGGGTGATTTGGTGCATAGAATGTACTACAACACAGGCAGCAATAAAAGGATCTTGCATTTTAAGAAAAGAAGCCTTCCAGGACATCTTCACAAGTTTAGCTGAGGGCGCTCCTTCCATCTCAACTGCTCTTTGAAAGAAACTTGGGATTTTCTTCCCTTCTTTGATTTTAAAACTGTAGTTTCCAAAAAATAACCAACTTGTGCTGGTAGCCCATTCTGGGATTCTCCTGAAAGGATTATTTCTTATAACATACTTCATAGGACTGTCTGGGCATTACTGGTACATCTTGTCCACAGCGAAGCTTTTACATTCTCAGTTGACTGGACAACTCTTGTGCCCGCAGGAGTGTTTACCCCACATAAAAGGTTTAACCAGTTGAAACATCTTTCAATAAAAGCTTGATTTAAATAAGATTGGACAAATCAGCCAGAAATGTATTAATTCATTGAGTAAAACTAAAAGGATTAAACCAGAGATGTAATAATTCTAGAATGTTATCTTAGCGGACACAGACTGATTACAACATAGTCACTGCCAGTAAAATCATTATAGCCATGGATAATTTAACATTACAGGTACAACTGCCTGAGAAAGGATGCAATTGGCTCAGGAATTATCAGTGACGCTTCAGCAGCATATTACTGAGCCAATCAGTACTTAGTGAATGGACATCCTCCCACCCCCATATTTTCCATTAGTTAAACAAGTAACTGACTGAGGAATCAGAATGAAAATTATTTAAGGTTGAGGTTTCTTGATTTAATAATACTTTGCACTTATGTCATGCCTCTTGTTCAAGATTCTAACTATGCATTGCAAGTATTTACTAGGCCTCACAACACCCACATGATATAGGCATGCAGACTGGTAGACTGAAGTACACAGAGGTTAAATGCCTTACCCCAGTTCATACAGTAATTCAATGACATAGTCAGGAACAGAACTCAGAAGTTCGGACTCCCAGTCCCCCGCTCTAATCTACAGAGCACACTGCCTTCCCAATGAGATCCAATATTAGTTATATGGGAAATTTTGTAAATAAAGATATAAGATTCAGATTAATGTTACTGAGTAGGAAGGAAGAAGTAAAAAAACATAGCTAACAGGTGAACTTAATATTCCCAGTTCTAAACTTCAGGAAAGAATGCAAAGTTACTGTATATCTGACTTAGATTGCTTAACATTAACTTCTACACAAAGAAAGGGCAACTAAAATGTTCAGAATCTGAAATTCATACTTACCTTGCGGTGGGCCGATACCACCTGCTACAGGAAACATGAAGCTGAAAATAAATTAAAAAAAAGCATGAGCCTATGACTTGATATCTAAATAATTGCTCAAGGACTGAACTACTGAGAATGCAAAAGTTACCCCAGGTCTTTGACTCCCACTGCAGTACTACATCCCAAACTGCCTCATTTGCTCGGTCCAAAACGTTTGCCCAAGCTGTGACCCACGGAATTAACCACAGAACCTTCCCTTCTCCATTAGAAATCGGAACAATTGCTGATGACAATGATCAGCAAGGATCCACCTGAAATAGTGCTGAAGAAAGGTTCACTGGAAGTGTCGATGAGATAATAAAACCATCTTCAGCATTATTATTATTATATAGAGCGAGACTAAGAAGAAACACATCTCATTTTCTGTAATGGTGCTCAAAATGGTTTTGACCCATCTATATTGCCAATTGAGCTGTTTTTAACATATGCTAATAAGCTTGGGTCAGCAGTGGGTCAATTTCCTAATGTAGGCAAGGCCTTTAGAGCTGCAGAATGAATAAGTATCCAGATTCAGCAGAATCACTAGCTGCATCAGAACATACTTATCCCAGCTCCTTCATAAAAGTTTTTCCACAGAGAAATAAAACTATCCAAGAAAAAAGTTTTTTCCTGTTAAATATGAAGAATTAGAAGACATCGCAGTGTCCATTTCCTGTTCTTTGTGCTTTAACTTTTCATTGCTCCCATTTAAAGGGAAACAACTACACCCAAGAGGAGAGAAACACATCCCAGCAAATATCAAAGACCAAATGCACAAAGATAAAAATCAGTTTTAAAAATTCAGCTGAAATTATAAGAGCAATGTCTTGTCCCCACTTTGAAGCATAAACATCAGCTTTTTCAGTGACAAACACAGTGTAATTATTATAAATGTACAGCAAGATTCATAGGTGCATTAACAAACAGTGTTATATTCATACATGTCCACCAACCACCACACAGTTCCTAATAGCCCCCAGAACTTCAGGGCCAGGTACAGCACAGTCAGCCATGCCACGTTATTGTGGCTGACTATTAAAGCGCTCTTTCAAGTCCTCCCCCAGCTGCATAGCTCAGCACTGAGCTCTTCTGATTGCCCTTGTGTCTGGCTCTTCAAACTCATCAGACAGCCATTGCCGGAGAGAAAAAAGGAGTCCTAGTTTAGCAATACCGTTTGCAACTCACTCTGAGACAGATGTCAGCAATAATTTACCAAAGAAGGACTTTCTTCAGTCCCCACCAACCTCTTACATCAAACACTCTGGAGAGAGAGAGAAGCTTACAGACATTCAACATCTCTCAGCCCAAGTGGGTTAGTCAAGAGGCCAGATGACAGACTAAGGAAACAAAGTGAAGAGGGAATGACATAGCAAAGATCTGCTCATAATGCTTCAAAACTGACATTGAATTCAGAAACCTATTGTGTTTTGTAAATGTAAAAGAGCTGGATTCCTTATTGTGCCTGTGCTCTCTTACTATGCAACATCTATGTGTAATGTAGAGTTCAATCATAATTAGCTACAACTAAGAACACACAATATCCCAGACAATCTGTGTTACCCTTTATTTCTGGGCCCTAGTCTATGACTGTGGCTCTTAAGCTCGACAGTAATACAAATAATAATTAATATAACTTCAAAATTTGAACTCATGATACTCTTAGTTCCTCAACTTTTCATTCTGCCCTAACCATTAGGCCACATATTAATTCCTCCATTCACAAAACTGTAACATACACATGTACCCAACTAAGGATAAGTTAGTAAGTCTGGCCCTACCACCACCACAATTTTAGGGTTCTCTATAAATAAAAATGTCTCCTACAGCCCCTGTGGAGAGTGATCTGCATAGACATGTTTTGCCAAATCTAGAAGCAGGCACTGGGACTGGAGTGCTTGAGCAGGATCCAACCCAGGTCAGTTGTAACCAAAAGCTGTTATTAATTGATGAATGTTCAGTGACCTATGTGAAACAAGCTCGGTTGCCTCAGTCCAGTTCTGGGTGGAGGGGTACTGACATCATAAAAAACACAGCAGGCATTAGCTGGCAACCTCGTCTCAAGTCACAGCAGGGAGGCCAACAACTAAACTCCCCTCCTGCTCCTAGCTGTGGTTCCCTTTACATCAAGGCTGAGGCACATTGACAAAACAATGTGGGGGCAGTCAGATTGCAGCCTGAGTTTTGCTTCAACTGTGGATCGAGATCTTTTAGTTTCCACAGCTGCTAAGATGGCACTTTTTGCCAACAATATACTCACATAAAACTTATACAGAAGTTCAGAAACACGTAGTTTCCGACCTACACCTATCACCTTTCTCTCATGTATAAATTATTCACTCCCGGGTCCAATTTACAGATAAATACAAGAAGTAAATTAATAATTAGCGTAATTAATGCTATTTTAGAGCTATACATTTTAAGGTACCACTTGTATCAAAGACAGTATCCGAAACTATTTTAATTTATCCCCTTTTTCTGCCTTGTGAGGATTCTGGTGGTAGAAATAAGGTTCTGCTCTAGTTTAACTGAAATGCAATGTAATCTGGACAAGCACACTAAGGTACCAGCACATGTTGTAAGCAAATAAAGGCCAGATCATTAAATATTTATCCCTTTCTAGAGTTAAGTAGTGATTTATTTATAAGCATCTGTAAAAACTGTAGCTAATTAGAGGCTGACTGTAAGAAATAAACAAAAATGAAAAAGTTGGTTTCTCTGAATCAAAATTCTGAATGTGTGTTAGGATTCACTGTTGACCTTGTTCAGTCAAAGATTTAGTTACACGTTTGGCTACTTTTTAGCAATAAGAGAAAATGTAAAACATCAGGAATTCTGGCATTGAAGATGTATCTGTATACATGTATGTATCTATATATCTGTATACAAAGAAGTGTTAAATAGCTATTCAAATATACACACACACATAAACAGAAGAGAAAATACACATCAAGTTAAAACAAAAACAAAAACTCCTAGACACTGCATCATTAGGGAGTCACAGGAAGAAGTTACTGATACATTCTTTTTAAAAATGTCAGTTACCGTTTACTAATGTGAACAATGTCTAAGCAACTTCAGTTAATTTACTCTGAAATAAGGCATTTTTTACCCTATAAAAACTTCTTAAATTAACAAGGAAATAACTTATTGAACAAACAGGCATCCTATATCAATATGAAAAAAGTGAAAGATGGAACTGACTCATTTCCAGAAGTTCTGCGCTAAAATTATTAGTCTGCCTTGTGCATTACACTGGCTTGGGATTAAAGGGGAGATTAACGATCTGAAAATCAATTCTAAATGCAATGAGCATGATCTATACTTTGTAATAGCCCATGGTTCCATTTTATAAAATATATATTACAGCTCTTTTCTAACAGGCATGTCCTTTCAGAATACCTTCATATTCAACATTACTCTACACAACGGTATATAATTTATTTGTAAATATTTCAACTGTACTCCGTGTTGTATCCAAACACCTACATTTATACAAGCAGCAAGTAATACTTTTGATGACATGGCACTAAAATGCAACATATGCAGAAACATACAGATATTCAACACACTTATTTCACTATGTGCTGTATATGAGATAAGAAGGAACAGAAGTGTGGTTAAAAAGCATTATCGTGTAAAAAAGAGAAAGTGAAGATCTCTGTGACAAAGTTCAAGAGCAGTAATATCCTACAGAAGTTCCTCAGAAAATCTTTGACAATAGTCTCAATACCATTGGGAGTATCACTTTAATATTATCGTATCATTCACCAATAAGTTTTTCATTATAGGTACTCTAGTTTCAGGAACAGGGCTCCAGCAATCAGCTTCACTCAAACAGCAGGATAAAGAAAAAAAAACACCCCTCATTTTCTTTTGTATTCAGATTTTACTATGAAGAATCCATGTGATAGCTTCTAGAACAGCAACAAACTACAGGATGAACTCTTTCCCCAACTCAAACTCCTAGACTGTGTCTATAGTTGAGAGTTTTTGTACCCATAATTCCCAATGAGTGCAGAGCCTGTAAAGCAGTAATACTGACATGGTGAGGTGTTTTTCATACCATGTGTCTAACTCAGATGCCCCAAGACCCTCTAAGTGAAACTACCTATAAGCCATAATGAAACTGACTTCACAGATTTCCATCACCTAAGCTCAGAGAATTTATTCAAAGCCTACCAAAGCTTTATTCAAGCTACAAAAAGCATAGTGACAAGTAAATTGGAATTTTGGAATCCTTTCATTTTTCACAATCTAGGGTCTCATTAGTAAGGTAGGTGTTTACAAAAGTAGACGTGTTTACAATGATTAATTCTAAATTGACAGTGGTACTGTAAAGAAAGAATGGATGTTTAAGCAGCAGATCAAAATAATTATATTTCAGATTTATACATCTAGTTGCGCTTCTCATCCTACAGGCTTCTGAAGTGCCTTACAAATTACATACCCAGGAGCTCTAATGAAATGCAGACACTTCTAATGTGGAGGGTGGCAACCTGGAAGACAGCTGGAGGAAAGCACCCTACATAAGTATGGGTGTGTGATTTTGGTGAAGGTCACCAGGGCAAATGCCTGCTTTTATGAGAAATGCCATGGGATCTTTGATGACAACACAAGGCAGGTAGGATTTTACTTAAGTATCCAGGAATATCTGATTAATACAACTTCACTTATCAAAAGCCAACTGACTCCGTCCTACAGCTCTGTCCTTTCACACAAAAATGCTATAATCTGAAGCCCTATAAATACTTCACTTAAACAGAAATCTCTAATCAATTCCCAGTTTGAAAGGAGAAATACAAAGATTAGCCTCCTATCCCACCCAAAACATAACACAGAG